GTCAAGGAATATACGGCCGTGGTGGCGAATTTGACTGGACGCTCGCGTGTCGGCCCGTCGGTATGGGATTCAAATCCACATAGAGATCGATATTTTTTTGAAAGTGGTTTTGATTCATAGATCGACCCATCCAAAATGAGTACAAGATAATGTCATGGGAAGCAAAGGCGCTCTTCATGATGTTAACCTGATCGCCCCACCCTGGTGCTGATTGATCTATAAAAAGATGAGCCTAGCATCATGTGGCGAATGCGCCATTGTCGTAAAAAAGGGTCATTTCATTTTGTTTACAAGATTGTACAGTAAAAACACTACAAAAGAACTTCCCTGTGTGGATTCCAGCGCCCTATTGTGGAGACAACAAAGAATAGCCCCAATGCCTCCCCAACAAGCATGTCCTAAGGTTTGACTAAGGAGGGGCTTTCTTCGAAGTCGGAGTACATCTGCCTGAGAGGCAATGGCTCAACAATCTGCATACAAATAAGTCTGATATGTAAAACGGATGTGCACGCTACACTCAGGTTCTTTGGATCAAGGCTTAAGTATAGAAGCAGACGAACAATTAGAAAAGGTTCTGAAAGCCCAGGATTGTTTTCTACAGTATGTGTCTAGTCTGTTCCTATTCCTGGATTTTTGCCAGGATCCGTTAGGGTTGAATGATCTTTATAACGATTGTTACCCCGTAAAATATTTCTTTGCTTTTTAAAATGCAGTTTTTTTTACTTACCCTATTCTGCACCTATCTGTATGATACGTCTTGGTCTGATCGTATCAGTGTTTCTAGGTACTTGACTTTATGTACTTGTCCTAAATTAATGTCATTGACTTTACTTTTCCACACAGGCAAGATTTATTTCTTTGTCGCCACAACGCGAGGAGCCTCCCATTTTTGTATTTAACTCTTTCAGCAGCAGGAGACTTTTTTCTGGGGTTTAGACAGCATTCATTTTGAGCGGAATTTTTTTTATTAAATGCAATAACAAAAAAGTCCAGAAGTGGACGAACAATTGGTACTTTCTGCCGGAATTACAACCGGTGATACAAAGACAGCAAGTGAAATGGTTTGCCCACTTAGAGAGAATGCCTTGTGACACCATACCATACAAAGCATACATGGAAAGAGAAGAAGGACGTAGAGCACGGGGTAGACCAAGAACAATTTGGAAGGATAACATCAGAGAAACTCTACAACAGTATGATGTGCCTATGGTCGAGGCAGCCAGAAGAGCTAGAAACAGAACCTTATATCTCCCTCGACACCCACAGCGGTAAAATAGGAAGTGAAGAAGAAGAGCCTCTCAAAGACCAACCCCACGTCCTCGTCGTGAGAGGTGGTAACAGGACAAAGTAGGGGATTGCTAGGTGTGGGCGAAGTATGGTGTGGCCTCGTGCCACGGGACCGCTACGGTAGCCATGAAGGCCACCCTGGGTCACCCCGAAACGTCCTGGCCAACGGGGCTCTGGTGAAGTTGCGACAGGCCTAGCAAGCCGGCAATGGATTTTTTACCGCTACAAAAATCAAAATGAGATATAAACGGACTGATCAAACGGTATCTGACCATGGCAATGTTAACGGACTACGAGACAGAACAGCGAAATACAAGATTGCAACACTTAACACCGCTGGCCTGGGAAATAAAACAGAAGAGATTATTGAAATGATGGAAAAAAAGGAAAATCAAGTTAATGGGGCTAGCTGACATAAGACGCAAGGGAAATATTAATAAGAAAATACACAGAGGCTACTTACTAACATATGCAGGAGGAGAAACATCGAAGAATGGAGTGGGTTTCCTGGTACATCCAGACATATCTAACTACATATTAGACATACATTATCACTCAGATAGAATTATTACTTTGAAAATTAAAAGAGGAGAACAAGCTGAAACATATATACAGATATATGCACCATGCAATGATAATTATACAGAAGAGCAGAAAGATGAATTCTTTGACGATCTGTCTGATGAGATAAAGAAAGTTGAGGGAAGCAGCATACTATATGTAATGGGTGACTTCAACGGGAGGGTAGGAAATAACAGAAGAGAATACGAACAATTTTTAGGTCCACATGCAGTTAAGAACAGTGCTAGAAATGGAAATGGTCAAAGAATATTGGATCTATGCAGCCAGCACAATCTTTTTATTACGAACACATTCTTTGACCATAGAGATTCACAACTTTACACTTGGTACAAATGGAATGATATCTCCATCAAGAGCCAGATTGACTTTATACTTACCAGAGTTCAAGGAAGAAGGAGAATTCTTGATTCAAGAGCAATCCCTAATGGTCTATGTGACACTGACCATAAAATAGTTGTGTTAACAGCAAAACATCTTACATTAAAGAAACACAGAAAGAAATTAAACAAAAAACAAGGATCTCATCAAGATAGCAAATCTGAAACAGGAAGGAGTAAAAGAACAGTTACAACAGAAAGTAGAGACAGCATTCAAACAACTTCCACATGTAGTTGGCAATATTGAGGAAGAATGGAGTATATATAAAAAACACTATGCTTAGTATTGCAGAAGAATTATGTGGAAAACGGAAGAGTGGAAACAGACGAGGAAATAACAAATATTCACCTTGGTGGTGCGAAGAAGTAAAAGAAGCAATTAAAAAGAAAAAAGACTTATATAAACAGTGGATAAAATCAAAGAAAGAAGAAGATTATATAAACTATAGACTGCAAAGGAGAGAAACCAATAGGAGTGTCAAGAAAGCAAAACAAGCATCCTGGGAACGTTTCGGTGAGTCACTAGCAGAAAATGAGAAAACAGCCAGCAGAAAATTTTTCAAAGTGGTTAAAAATATGCGGAAAAAAGATGAGAGCTACAACCCCACTGAAATAATTAATGATAAGACAGGAAGGCCATTGATAGATCCACCCGAGATTGCAGAAAGATGGAGGGAATACTTCAATGAGCTCTTTAATCCTCTAGGAGATCATCAGGAAAGAACAACTGAAGAGCACAGAGCAACAGTGTTAGAACCACACATACTAATGGATGAAATAGAAAAAGTCATTAAACAGTCTCCCAAATATAAAGCACCAGGAGCTGATAGATTACCAACAGAAATAATTCAAGCAGCAGGTGAAAGCAGCATCAGATGGCTTCACAGAATATTCAATGCAGCATGGGTACAACAAACGGCCCCTATTGATTGGCAACATGCAATAGTTATACCATTGTGGAAGAACAAAGGAAGCAAACGAGAATGCGGTCAATATCGAGGCATCTCTCTTTTAAGCCATGTTGGCAAAATGTATGCCAAGATAATAGAAACAAGACTGAGACCAGTGGTAGAACCACAGCTGGCAGAAGAACAGATGGGATTTAGGAGAAATAGAAGCTGCACAGATGCAATCTTCACACTTAAACAGTTAATAGAAAAGAACATGGAATACAATAAGAACTTATTTGTGGCATTCGTAGACCAGGAGAAGGCATTTGACAGAGTCGACAGACAATTATTATGGAAAATAATGTCAAGATATGGAGTAAGCGAACACCTCATCGAAGTGTGCAAAAGTTTATACAGGGATTGTAGAAGTGTAGTTAGAATAAATCAGGGAACATCTCATCCTTTCACAGTGACATCTGGAGTAAGACAGGGATGTGTCTTATCACCACTGCTGTTTATCACCTACATCGACAGTATATGCAAGAATGCCAAGCCTATGAATGAAGATCTTAGTAAGATCAACGAATTACTCTTTGCAGATGACCAGGCCTTGATAGCAGATACAGCCATGAAATTGCAACAACATCTAACATCCATGAATGAAGAATGTAAAACAAATAATATGAAAATCAACACTGAAAAGACAGAAGTAATGTCAATAGGAAAAAAGAAGACAGATCTAAACATAACAATAGAATACAAAGGCATTAAACAGGCATCTGAGTTTAAATATCTGGGAACTACATTTACCGAAGATGGGAAATTGGATAAAGAAATTGACATTAGATGCAGTAAAGCAAACCAAGTATTGGGACAGCTAGCCCCCCTCTTACAGCATAAGACAATCCCAGTCAGCACAAAGAGACATCTAATTCAAAGCATATTTATTCCAACTCTGTGCTACCAGTGCCAGACATGGTCACTCACAACAAACCATAAAAGAAAATTAGTAACCACGGAAATGAGATGTCTGAGAAGGGCTGCAGGAGTGACCATAAGAGATAAGATCAGAAATGAGATCATAAGAGAACAAGTCGGCACAGAACCAATTCTGGATTACATACAAAGACAGCAAGTAAAATGGTTTGCCCACTTAGAGAGAATGCCTTGTGACACCATACCATACAAAGCATACATGGGAAGAGAAGAAGGACGTAGAGCACGGGGTAGACCAAAAACAAAATGGAAGGATAACATCAGAGAAACTCTACAACAGCACGATGTGCCTATGGTCGAGGCAGCCAGAAGAGCTAGAAACAGAACCTTATATCTCCCTCGACACCCACAGCGGTAAAAGAGGAAGTGAAGAAGAAGAAGAAGAAGAAGAAGAAGAAGAAGAAGAAGAAGAAGAAGAAGAAGAAGAAGAAGAAGAAGAAGAAGAAGAAGAACATTTAGAAGTAGAAGAAGAAGATTCGGTAACACATATTCACATGGATGGGGCAGACAAGTACATCATAGACTTGCATGGACCTAATCCGTAATTCCAGAACTTGAGGCTTGAGAACTTACAGATCTGGCCTATATTACATTTTAATCGTACTCTTAGTTATTTGTTTCGTTATGATAACAAAAGCCAATAATAATAATAATAATAATACAATCATTTAGGTTTTGTAATTCCCTCCCCTTTCCCCCATATAGCAGTCAAAGTCACGTGACGTGATGGGAGGCAGTTAAAAGTAAACAATTCGTTAACCGGACGCGGTCGCTAACCAGATGATACATTGTTGTTCAGTACAAGCACTTACAGATCGTGTTTAAAACCAGTTCATTCATCACTATAATTGTACAAGCGAGGAAAAACATGCGTATTTACAGGTTGCAAAACAGTTTGGTCGCGTTGTTTTTCTTTGCAGTTGTAATAATATATTGCACGGGACCAATTGTAATTGTTGCTGCAAACTCAGCCGACGTTAGGCAGTTTTCCCAGCAACATGAACGCCATGGTTTCAAAAACAATGTATTGGTGAACAATCTGGTTAATCACCAGAACAAAATAAAACAAAATAACGAACAAGGAGAAAAGTCAAGGTTTAAAGGGGAAGCGCCGATCAGTCAAGAAACGCGCTACTCCCCTACCTGGGCATCTATAGACTCTCGACCTATACCGCAATGGTACGACGAAGCCAAGATCGGAATCTTTCTTCACTGGGGTGTGTTCTCGGTTCCCAGCTACGTCGGAGCATGGTTCTGGTATTACTGGAAGGGACCAAACCCAAGACAAGATGTTGTCGATTTTATGAAGAAGAATTACAGACCAGATTTTACCTATGCAGACTTTGCATCTATGTTTACAGCAGAGTTTTACAACCCGGATCATTGGGCTGATATATTTAAGGCCTCAGGAGCACAGTAAGTTTCTGTATGCTTTTAATAAAATAACATTTACATACACACACACGCACGCACAAAGCGCGCACACACACACACACATATACACGAGCCAGTGTTTCAGATGGAAGCAACTGTAAATATAAGCTGCCTTCTTTTTCATTTCATTTTTACCTGGCCAGATGTTAAGGGAGAGCCAAAAGAACACAAATGTGAACCTGGAGTTTCTTTGATGTTGTCTTTCCATATTAGTCTTGATTTAAATTGCTTTTTGTGTCCCTCTCCTCTTTTAGCATGTACCTTTTATAGTATAGCATCGCAAGGCAATATCTCTCTAAGTAGATAAACTTCACTTTCAGGTTTTCTTTTCTCTTGCTAAACACTTTAGTTAGCAGACAACTGTTACACAATAGCTAATCCTATTCAAGCAATCCTTATTTATCAAGTGTTAATTCAGAGCACCCTTCTGTATGTTAGTTAAACTTGGTCTCAACTCACTTGCACCAGGAGAAACCAATAAATGGCTTTTACATGTGAATTCTACAAAGAATGCTTGGCAACAAGTGACAAGTCAGGATTATTACAAACACTGAGGTACTGAGGTATCACAGCAGTTTTCTAAGTTATTAGTCTTCAAAGGCTTAGATGGCCATTACTTTTTCAAATGATGGGGAATGATAAGAGTCCTACGGACATCCTCAATGATGAATTATAGATAGTTAGAAGATGTCAGGGTCAGTCTCTACTATGATGTAACAATATGAGCTAGCGAGATGTGAATAATAACAGGTATTAATTTGGATTCATGGATCACAATGTATAAAGAGGACAAATTGGATTGGAACATGGACAGAGAAGAAAAGGATTGCAGACAGGTTAAGAGTGAGTGTCTGAGAAGAAATATATCAAATATGTATGATGGTATCAATGATCCAGAAATGCCATACACTTTTTGTGGAAGATACTTAACATGAATTGTCTTGCTAGTCACACTTGCTAATTACCATATGCTGTGTTTCTAATGTCTCCATGTAGCACACTTGCTGAATAAAGGGACTAAGAAAAATGAAGAAAAAGAGATAGAAGGAAAAGAAGAACAAAAAATCAAGGAAATGCTCTTCTTCCTGAAGAACCTTTTCTAGTACTGGAGGATCATTGGGGGTTTCTGTTGCAAAGTGGTCAAGCCGTTTGCCTTGTGCTTTGAAAGTCGTGGGTTCATTTCACAGCTGCACCCTTCAGTTCACGAGTGCAATTTTTGCGAGGATCACTAGAGATTGTCACCGGAGCTACAGAGTTCGTGCTCTGTGCGGCCCTTTTGGCAGACGGCTAGCCATTCTGCGGAGAGAGACCAAGCCATGTAGGATAAAGCCCTGTACAGTGAAGTTGATCCTCTCAACTTTAACTTTAACCACTTAGGATCACATCCGCAATGTGTCTTTTTTATTTCTTCTTGTAGATATGTTGTTCTTACAACCAAGCATCATGAGGGGTTTTGCAACTGGCCAACCAATCACTCATTTAACTGGAATGCAATGGATGTTGGCCCCAAACGTGATCTTGTTGGTAAGAATGTTACAAATTTTACACTTTTTCCATGCTTTAATCTGCAAGTAATTTCATTTTAGATTATAAATAGTAGCATTAATATCCTGAATATAAATTTGTTGGGGGTATGTTTTGAAAAAGGTAAAACTGCAGTACATTGCTATAACAGGAAAGTTTGAGGTGAAGAGAGACAAAGGGAGATCGGTTATATAATATAAAACTGTTGAATATGTTAGCTGTTGGCAACTGTTACATTGGAGGATAAAGGGCAGGAGAGAGAGAGAACGAACAAACAAACTTTATTTTCAAAGGGTTAAGAATTGGGCACGCAGGCCCGTCTAATATTCTGCCCTTCCACTCTGCTCCTTTCGTACAATTTTCATTTGTACCGCATTTCATAGTTAAAAATAATAATAATAACAATAATATTAATAATAATAATAATTATTATAAAAAGAGGAATACAAAATTGAAACATTTAAGAATTATAGAAAAAAAAATCACTATATCTAAGTCTTAATTACAAAAGCTGGAATGTGCTCTAATGTGTACATCTCTCTAAAGGAAAGAGAGAGAGAGAGAGATTGAACCTTTGAGTAATCTTGATTTTTCTCCCTCCTAGGAGATCTTGCTGTAGCCGTTAGAAAGCAAGGCCTACGATTTGGCACCTATCACTCTTTGTTTGAATGGTTTCATCCTCTGTACCTCCAGGACGTGGCAAACAATTTTACAACACAAGATTTTGTCATCGTAAGAAGTACAACTGATTTCACAGTTTCTGATTTTAATTGTTATTTATATCTGACTCTTTTTCTTTATATTTGTTTGGAACTAGCCTGTATCTGTGATTCTTTTCTGCATGGTAATCAGCAATTAATGTGTATGTTTTAGGAAATGTGCGTTACTGAGCCCAAAAGGAAAGCAAAGAACAGTAACATTGTAACCCATGATCTGGGTTTTCTTTCTTAAAAAAAAAAATTATAGTAGTGTTGAAAGCAAATGATGCCTTTAAAAAACAAAGATGCTCGTACTGTGTACCGCTGTCTGCTGCCAAAAAAGGCTGCCTTGCCTCCAATGCATGATAAAAGAGTTGACTAAGAGAAATTTGTTGGACTAGCAACCTGCTTTTCTAGAAAATGTAGCAGTAAAATGTCATCACTATGAATTGGTTGAGGGTTTTTACTCCATAAGAGTTTGTCAGAAGAAATTTGAGAAAAAAAAGTACACAGAGATATATCCCTACATTTTGGTGCCTGAAATGTATAGCTACTCTAACACTGTGAATAATTCTTGTCACAAAAAATATTTTCCATTATTGAAGATCATCAGAATATTTGTATCATGTTAAGATACTTTTGAAAAGATTCTTATTATTTTTATGAAAGATGTAACATAACATCAACAAAATATAATATGCAGACAGTATTGCGTGGATAATGAAATAATTCTTTAGAAGCGAAGTCATTGTATGCATTGAACAGTTAGGTTTATAATTAGATTGCTAGTAAACAGAAATTATGATTATCTCAAAGATTATATAAGTATAACATCAGAAAGAGGAAAGTCTTAAGCATGAGAATTGTTCCAACTATCTAGAAACAGTCATACGTCAGATGGAAGATGCTCTGTGGAAATTAAAGCATGTATTGTCTTAACAAAAATTTAATTTGCAAAACATAAAGAGTTGTCAACTGCAGTAAGAATAAGAGTTTTAATATGCTATATAATTGTCTGTGCTATGTAGATGTATACATTTCTTTTACTGTGCTATATGGTTGTATATTTTTTTTGTATATTTGAAGTCATACTTGTAAAAGCCATAAATCTTATTTACCAGACATTAGCTGTTGGCAATCAAGAGATTTTTAGGGCTTGTGTGGAGAAATGAACATGAAAACTTAGTGGAAACTGCCAAACTTGTTGGGGAAAAGAGGAGTTACAGGCCAGGTTGGCATGAGCAGGACAAGAATGTCTAATCTGGGACTCTATTGATCAAAGGAAATGGTGAATCTTGAGCCTCAGCATTTACTTCTATAGCTCCCTGCGAGCTACAACAACAAATAGACCCATTGCCTTTATAAGAAGCCTGTCTCACAAGACAACACATTAGGGAAGTTTCCTTTGAAGTTGGAGTCCATCTGCCGGGGAGGTGATGTACTGTCAGTCTGCATAAAAAAAATCCAGATGTGCAAAACAGATGTGTACACAAAACTTAAGTTCTGGAGCAAGACAAAAGTCCAGAAATGGACAAACAACCATAATTTTCCACTGGAGCTAACAGCCAGTGAATTCTAAGGAAGATGAAGAAAAGAAAGATTGCTTTAACACATGATTTTATATAATTATGTCTACAATTTTTTTTTTTTATGTATGTTAATCTTTTCTGGATAAAAATTGTTTTTTCCTTAGGCAAAAACAATGCCAGAGTTGTATGAGTTGGTGAACACATATAAACCAGATATTGTTTGGTCTGATGGCTGTGCTGGTCCAGACTACTATTGGAACTCTACAGAATTCTTAGCTTGGTTGTATAATGACAGGTGAGACCTTGTATGTTATAACCTTGCAAGTCATTTTCTCTAAGTGGGAAAACCATTTTATTTGCTACTTTGTGCATACCGTTTTACTTTCCAACAATGATGTCTTCTTTTTGTCATCAGATTGTGACCGCATTGTGGTCATCTGTATCTTTCTTGCATTACACAGGTGGCCTGAGTGATTGTTTTATTCAATTTGTTACAAATTCAAGCGTTTTATTCAATTTGTTACAAATTCAAGCTATATTATCTTTTTATTTCTTTCTTGGTCTTCCTCTTGCTTTTTGTCCAAAATGTTCTTCTATAGAAGGTCTCATAAACAGTTTGGCTTGACTGCATTCCTACTAGATGGCCAAACCACTTTATTCAGTCTTTTAATGTAATTCAGTCACGGCCTTATTCCAAACTTCTCTCTTATGTTGGTATTTCTGACCCTGTTCTTTCTTGTTGTAACAGGGTCCGCACCCCAACCCCCTTTTTATTAGTATTGTGCTGTTTGCATGGTAAGACCCTTGTGGCCTTCACCCTTATTGTAAAACTTTCCATTAGTAAGTAACTACATCCCCCTAGGTCCATACTCTTGTTTCCCACGTACTATGAATCGCATGTTCAGACATGTGACTCTCCCCGTCCAAGCTCCAAAGTAATTAATCAAATTCCACGGACCCGGCCAGCTCAGGTGATTGCAGAAAGCTGCAAAACAACGAGGGGTAGGAGCCCCCTGGGAGCAGCTAGTGGCCCCTTTATAAGCGATTGCCCGGGGTCTTCGGCAGCGGTTAGCTCAGATAGATAGACTTAGATTCAGGCTCGGACAGTCGGGGATTGGAGCTCACAGACACAGACAGACGCACGCACAGCCAGGACAGACGCACACGAGACGGACAACAGAGGATAGTTGAGGAGAGACAGAAGAAAGAGGATAACAGAGGACAGGCCAGAGGACAGGCTAGACATAGAGACAGACGAATAGTAGAGCGAAGTACCGGTCAGTTTTGTAGTGGAGAGAAAAAAATAATTAAAGATATAAGTATACATGTATTCAATCAGAATTACGGTTAGAAGCTATGGCCCTTTTCAAGAGATTACCATCGTCCTGACAAACGATGATGGAATGGCTCGGGTGTACCGTTACTTAGTACGGGAAACCGACATTTATTTCCACCGAGTATCACTCGATACAGATTCTGGCGTGGACACATCTTCGGAGTCAGATGAAGATGAGGCCAGAGTTTAGGTAGTAGTTGAAAGGAATTAGTGCATAGAGTTAAGAGAAAACAATGTGATTTGTTTTGTTTTGTGACACTTGTTAGAGTATTACAATAAATACAGTGTGATCTTAAACGGTTGTTTCAGACACTTTGTTATTCAAGCACCTAAGGCACGTGAGAGGCATGCAGCAAGCAACACACCTCCTCCTTCACTAAACTTCACTATTAAACGACACGACCATCTTTCTCCTCGTCTGTCAACAAACACCCGCCACCCTTGTGACAAACAATAAGTGAACCTGGGTTGTGAGCAAAAGAGACGACTGTGTCACATTGTGTTGTTGGTGACATTTTGAGGCATCACATTTGACAAGGGGTTATTTTTTGTTCCTGTGATCTACTGTCATGTTTGGTACTGATAGCACAAAGTGGAGATAAGGGGATATTAATCATTTCTTGTTTTGCTGAAAAGGAGACATTTGGGTGTCTTAGCAGTGGGACTAGCCGATAAATGACAGCATTTGCCTTCTGGGCACTATCTTCTTTCTCTCTGTTGAGTCACAGTAATAGGTTGGTAGTTATACCCCACCAGGACATCACATAAGCGATAAAACCCAGTGACACAAAGTGCCACCATACAAATGAGGATCACCCATGGAGAGGTCCCAGAAACCCCATTCAGCCTTTAAGGCCATATCTATGGCTAGGTCATATATATGGCCTGGCTATATTTAGGGCCCCTGGCAGAAGCCAGGGTGGGGCTTCAAATAAAAAGATTTTGCATCCCAAAGGGGGATGACTAATATTTTTTTTCACAGTAATATCAGTTTATGCGTATTTATACACTTGAGGACTTTAAAAGCTTTGATTGGTTGTTAATCTGCAGTATATATTTCTCTTTTTTGCAGTCCAGTGAAAGATTATGTTGTCACCAACGACAGATGGTGTAGTGACTGTCTATGCAAACATGGTGGATACTTTACTTGTGACGATCACTATAATCCAAGTGAGTCCATGTTTTCTTTTCTAGAGAGCTTTTTCAGAGATGAATAACTAGCTTCCTCTGGTTCATGTAAGGGACTTATATTAGGCTATATATCAATATCTTTAGCTTAGGTGATATGAACATAGTTCAGAACTCTCAAATACCTGGTTCAGTTCAGCTGCAGGCAGTTTGGCCGTAGACCACTTTACACTGAGTTCAACAGTGGTATGGAGTGTCAGCTGTTCAGTGAGCAGTGACAAACTACTGAATATAAAATTGCCTAGCAAAAAAAAAAAATAGAAACAACTAACAAATGCTGGGTTGGTTTATGATATATTATGTTATCACAGAGGACGTCACTTCACATTGGGCATTTCCATGCGTGCTCAGTCCTCTGATGCAGCAGCCACTCCAAGGTACTTCTACTAATTGTGTAGCACAGCTCTTTTCTTCGTTACTATTGTTGTTGTCACACCCAGGTTTGTATTTATATTTCTACAGGAGGAGTCGATTGGGAGATTATAGACAAGGAGAAAGATGGTCGTGTCTATAGTGGTGCTGATGATGATGATGTCTTTCTAGGTGCATGCTTCTCACATGACTCTGATGCTTGTATAACAAAATGTCTGGAAACAACTGTTCTTGTTTATACTGTCTTTATTGTGATACTTCAGCAATGTTACAAACATCAATGATATTCCGAAAGGCACTGTGTTCTCTCTATGGCTAAATACTCGTAGGTTCGCATTGTGTTCTTAATTGCTTTGTTTCTAGTGTCTGTAACTGCCACCTGGCTTCTAGTGATGTCTGATACTGACGGCTTGGTCGTCGACTCTAACGTCTCTGTAGTGTTCCTAACTAATGTGTCGTCTCTGTAGTTTGTTGTCTCGTTTCATGTCTGCTCTCAAGTGACTGTCTTTGAGACTTAATATGACCAGCTGCTCTCCTTCTAGTGTTCAGTTGGCATCTCCAGACTTCGAGGATAATTGAGACTAGTTGCTCGTCCTCTGGGTCTCAACGACTGAAGGCATTCTTCGAGTTAAGCTGACATCTCTACGACTGAAGACTGCTTTGAGAGTCCATGTGACTGGTCTCTCCTCTCTTGAGTCTTGTGGACTGAAGAATTTCTAAGGTGCTTTGTTACTCGTTATTTATACCTGGATGCTGGAATGCTGGGTATTTGTTTTCTTCTCGCTCTTTCTGCTTCTAGAATATTCTTGTACGTCTCAACTTGTTTACTAGGTAGGTTTTCACGTGGGATTTTCTAAAAATATCTCGATTGCATCGGATTTCATCATCCTATTCTACGCAGATATAGTAGTTAAACTGACAATTGACGTCAATAGACTCCTACAAAACAAGTGATACTGGGTTCTTTCTGAAAGGGTAAGGCCAACAATGACGTCAAATACTATTTATAAAATATTGTTTCTAAAACTTGTTGACTTTCTTCTCATCAAAAATTACGCAAAATACTATCTCCAGACAAAGAAATAATGACGTTGATTTTCAGTTTTGGTAGGAAAATTGAAGGTTACCAAGACTTGTTGGTCTCCTTACTTCCTAGCTTTGTGCCTACTAACAAACAAGCTATGACCCACTCTGTTACAATCGTTCCCACAAGAAATCGGTTATATTGTCTTCTATCTCGGCCTTGAAAGCGGCAAAGACATGCTTCACCATGCTTTACTCCAATGTCATGCAATTGTGTTAGTGCCAGAGATTTGTCATTATCCACTAGCCCAATCCGTACAGTGTTGACATTATCTGCTCTGCCCATGCTTCTTCCTATATGCATTGGTACATTGCATGCCAATTGGTCTGCTAGCTCAAAACCCTTTATTCCCGCATGACCAGGTGTGTAAATCCAGTTGGGGTGGTTTACTTAGCCTTGTAAAGGATATGAAATTAACTTTATTAGCCTGTGCTATGTGACAATATGAATTCATGTATTGTTTATGATATTGTCTATAGATGAACTCATTCATTGTATTGTTTGTAGATTACGTCTTCTTCTTCTGCCCTTTATCCCCTAGTGGAGCATAGGCCCTCAACCAATAACACCAAATAATCCTCTTCTTTGTTTTTGTATGCAGCTCACCCCCTGTCCTCCCTATCTTTTTAACTTTACTGTCTAACTCCCTTCTCCATATATTTTTTTTTTGGGTGGGCCTTATTTTTGTGCCTCTGTGTTTTTAATTCATGCATTGATACAATATTTTATCTATTGATTAAGATATTGTCTGTTCTGATCACATATCTGTTATTGTCACATGCTAGATAGAAGTCTGATTTTATCTAAATAATGTTCATGAAGTTTTTGTGAAGTTGTAATCAATGCAACAGTCACAACTGAGGGATATGTTTTTTAAAACCTCATTGGGAAAAAAACTCTTAGACGAAGTGACCGAATGAAGTTAAGAAGAAGTCTTTTCTAGATATACTTTTTTTTTTCCTAACCTGATGTGTTTCCACTGAGTTGCTATCTGCTTCTTGTAGTTCATGCAGTGCAGCATTGGTATTTATGTCTGTCCCCAAACATCTGTCTCATGAACTTTCAGTTATTTTTGACACACATGACATTTCATATTATTTTGTCATACTGTCCAGCATCTTCTGTTTGTTTCATTCTGCATCTAATTCTCCCACTGAAACAATGTACTCCGGTTGTTTCCTTCTCCTGTCGTGATTAAAGAATGTGGATTGCACCTTCTGATGTGGATAATCAGTTCTCTCTGTGATTAACTCCCATATTGCATTAACTATTCCTTCTGTCATTATAATTTTAAGTGACTCATCACCCGACATTTATTTTGTATCAAGCAACACATGCACTGAATACATAGAGTTAAAAGTAATGACAGCTGAAGACTGAAATAGTTAAAAATAAGATGCTGTAATTGTGAAAATTATATACAGTTTCTGTATTTTTACCATCAGAAACCTTACAGGCTCGTAAATTTGAGGACCCAACAACAGTAGATAAAAAAGCATGGGAGTTTAGGCGAGACCTGCAGCTGAGCGATGTGCATACAATGGAAGACATTACCACATTGATTGCTCAGGTAGTCAGGTGAGGGCATCACATAATTATTGTCTTTTTAATGTAGTAATGGGCACATCTTAAGAAAGAGCAGGTAGATAATCTCCAAGCATGCATTGAAATGGGAAACAAATGTACTGAGAAAATCACTATCTTTTTGCGGCCAAAAAAAATTACTTGCTCCAAAGTTGTATGGAACTAAAAGGGAACTTCTAAAAACAGTCGAGCTTATCACAAGAACTTGTCTGTAAGTGTAAATCACAAAGTGAACACAAGAAGAAGAAGGTGTTAGTTTAACCTCTGGTTTTTTTTTATTTACTGTGTCACAAAATTATGTTTCTCTAAAAGTGTCAGCAGCATGACAAGTTTTGAAAGCTCTGCTGTAGAGTAATAGTGAATACAAATTCTGTATATTACACATCACCGCTGACAACATTTGCTTCACTTTTTAGTTGCGGAGGTAACTTGCTGATTAATGTGGGCCCCACAAAAGAAGGAATCATTGTACCCATATTTGAGGAACGTCTGAGACAGATGGGACAGTGGCTGTCTGTTAATGGAGAAGCGATCTATGCCTCAAAACCATGGACATATCAGAATGACACAATTACTCCTGATGTTTGGTAAGTTCAGTTTACTCCAGAAGGGAGCCTGCTTAGAGTCATTGTCATGTTCATATTGTATTTTGTTATTTCTGTGTTAGCACATTGTGAGAATAGGAAAACTGCAGTACAGTGTGATAAAAGTAAAGATCCCTTTTCACGCCTTAGACACATCGGGTATATGGGAAGAGCGTCCCATATTTTTACAGACCAGTCGGCACTGGATGGGTAATGTGGTCAGCATTACACCGGCCGTCTTTACTTCCCCAGGGCAGCCATCCTGGTACCCATTTTAGGCTGGGTCAACCTGTGGCGCCCCATACCATGATAAAAATCCACGCTGCCAACAGTGGGTTTCGATCGCTGTAAATTGGATTACGAGTCGGACTCGCAACACCTAAGCAATGGACGCCGTGATAACAGTAAAGATAGAGGGAGGGAGAGGCAAAGGGTATATGGGAAGAGCGTCCCATATTTTTACAGACCAGTCGGCACTGGATGGGTAATGTGGTCAGCATTACACCGGCCGTCTTTACTTCCCCAGGGCAGCCATCCTGGTACCCATTTTAGGCTGGGTCAACCTGTGGCGCCCCATACCATGATAAAAATCCACGCTGCCAACAGTGGGTTTCGATCGCTGTACATTGGATTACGAGTCGGACTCGCAACACCTAAGCAATGGACGCCGTGATAACAGTAAAGATAGAGGGAGGGAGAGGCAAAGGGTGTTCAAAAGATCCAATGCTGGGTGTCACATATCACTCCTGTTGCGTGCCTAATGTAAGGATTTCTCCTTCAGAACCAACAGCACTCAGAGATAATTATGTTGAGTCGTTTGGCTCATATTGGTCTAAGGGATTCCCCGTGGCCAATATACGATCAACTTATCTCTGGAGTAGGGCAACTCAAGTATTGGCACTACAAAATATGTCAGTATATGAATACAATATTTCTAGGCACACTTGGCTGGACACCCCCACTACTTACTAAAAAAAAGCCCCCAGGTTATGATAGTTCAGTATCATAACCATGTTAACACATATAATGAAGATACATGCACACACAACTGCTAAACACTTAAAAAGGTGACATAGAGAAACCTAAGTCAGCCATGAAAATGAATGCATGTAATCAGTATAATATATATACATATAATAGTGAAGTGAATTCCAGCTATCAGTGGAAGAATCTCAGAAAATAATGTCTAGATACCAAAGATACTACACAGACAGCAGGTCCTGGAGATGACATCTTGTCATCATTGGGAAACATAGGAGCTGTGAGGAATAAAGCACATAAGGCATCAAACTGCACTTAGCCTCTTTCTGTCTATGATGCCTCCCTCAGCTCCTGATGATTCGACTGTCTTTGACTCTGGTAATTCTGCTCAACTGGATCAGGTAGTGAAAGAGTACCTCACCATAGAGGACACAGCAACTGTACCGGTACTCACCAAGTCTCTCTCACCAATTAGGTCACAACAGTGTCTCTGAGCTACACCAAGCTCTTGCTCTGGTAGGCTGTTTGGGTTATCTGCCCCCACATAGTGATGATGTCAGGAACCTTCACAGGTGTTAGCTGGTGGGTAGTTGGTTGATAGTTGGTTTATGATTAGTTTATGGTTGGTGGATGTTGGTTGGACTGTGAAACTTCTGCCAGCTCCTCACAAAGGATTCATCCCAAGCATAGGAAAAGTCCTAGACATTACAGATCGCCTTATGAAAGTGAAATTATACAGGCATAGATTGACACGTCTAGACGCTAGGAAGCTGGCAAGATAGAATGCCGCCCATACGCACTTCAGGCGTTGGTAAAAAAGGAGTTCCTAGTATACATTGGCAAGGAGTAAATCGGTTTCTAAGAAACCTCAAATAACTCCTCTAATATTTATCCAATATATATACATTTAAAAGTGGAGTTTAGTCAAAGCAACTAGAAAATGTAGACATAATAATGTTGTCCAATAAAGGCATATATATATAGATATAAGGGACTAAATCTTTCCGGACGAGTCCAAGTTTGAATTTTGTGCCGATTACAGGTAAGTCAAGTTACCAGCCTTACGGACTGATGCGTAATGGCTTATCATTCCACAACAGTACCCCCCCCCCCCTCAAAGGGAAGAGTGTACTACGCGAATGAACAATGATCAGCCATCTACACATCTATGGACTCACTACTTTCAGCTTGCTCATCACCTTCAGTCTGTGAATTATCAGACAAGGGATGGCGGCTCAAGAAATCTGCTCTGAATCAAAGAGTTGACCAAACCAACCTCTCAGAGACAGATGAAATATATACAATAATGACAATCCATGTGAAAATAGAGAACCTATGACCACTATACAACACTAATCAGCAAGGAATCTATACAGAATCAGTAGATGTCCCTGAGGACCTAATACTGCTGATTCCATCCATGTATCACTGATCCCTGCCAGGTACATGCAAAGATGTAGGTTCAGACCGAACCCCCCGATCGGGTTGGCTGAATAAACCCACACACCCTCCTGGTACTCCTGTCATATTCAGGAAATATACCGGTGTGTCTCCTACATCAGTAGTCACACAGGAAGGTCGTCGAGGCATGTGGGATATAATCCCTCCCGTCTGATCCTTCGCGAGGTTCGGAAGGATAATCCTCCCCTCGTCACTATGTGCTCCAACAAACACAGGAAGGAACCCTGGTGTGAAATGAAAATTCTTCACCTTCTGGTCCTCCTGATGGTCTGGAGGTTTACTCCATTCCTCTTTAAAAAGAGGAGCTTGCACAGGGCATTGACGAAAAGGCTCAACAGGAACCAATGTCGTAAAACACTCATTTAATGAAATGTGCCCTGGCTTCACTCTCAGGACAGAGTTACACTCTGACAAGAGTTGCTCTATAGCTTGTTTCTGAGAGACAGAGAGAGTTGGGTTAACCTCTACATCTTTATAGGTCTCCCTGGGGTGAAGAGGATATTCCACAGCTGTGGCTTCTCCACCTTCCACCTCCATAGCTACAGAAAGGGTCAAGAGGGTCGGTGTGTCACTTACCTCTCTCTCGTTGTATTTCCGGAGGAGATTAATGTGATAGACCTTTGACTTACCTTTAATGTTGATCTTATAATGGATCCTGGATATCTTTTCTACCACCGTATAAGGGCCTCCCCAAGCTAACTCTAACTTAGACTTCCCTGATGGTAGCAGCAAAAGAACCCTATCTCCAACCTCAAGACATCGTTCCTTTGTCTTCCGGTTGAAATGTGCAGCGTACCTCTTACGTGCACGAATCAAGTTCTCTTTAGCCAGGTCCCACCCTAGCTTTAACCTTTCCTTGAGTTCCTGCACATACTGTGATATGGTTTTCAAGGAATCATCTGCCCCTTCGTCTGTCCATGTCTTCCTGAGAATAGCCAAGGGTCCAGAAATGTGTCTTCCGAACACCAAGGTCGCAGGTGGAAATCCAGTAGAGGCATTGGGTACTTCCCGGTAGGCGAATAGTGCTGCAGACAGATACTCGTCCCACCTCTCTGGCTTTTCCTGGGTTAATCTTCTCAGAAGCGATACCAACGTTCCATTGAACCGCTCATTCTGGCCGTTCGCTTGGGGTCGGTATGGACTGGTGCAAATGTGTTGAGACTTGATTATCTGAAACACCTCCTCCATTAGTTTCCCTCTAAACTGAGATCCATTGTCTGTCAGTATCTGCGAAGGGAATCCCACTCTTGTGAAAATGCTCATCAATGCCTCTGCCACAGTCTTACTGTCAATCCTCCGAAGTGCAATAGCCTCCGGATAACCTGAACAACAGTCGACCAAGGTCAATATGTAAGCATTCTTCTTCTTTGTGAGAGGAAGTGGTCCCACCAAATCGACCGCCACCCTTTCAAAAGGTGTGGAGGTGACAGGGGTTTCCCCCAGTCCGACTGGTGCATTCCTGCCTTTGGGAGCTACCTTCTGGCACTCCGGACAGGATTTGACATAACGCATGATATCTGCTGACATACCTGGCCAAAAGTAATGACAGGCAATGCGTTGTGTCGTTGCATGAATTCCCATATGGGCACTATAGGCTATAGTGTGCCCCATCTGGAGAATCTGCTGTCTATATGTTTTGGGTACTACAAGTTGACTGTGCTCTGTATACTTGTCACCTGCCCATCTGTAAAGTAACTTACCTTTCATGAAGAATTCTTTCTTCAAAGGGGGATTGTGACTTGCAGTTAACTTTTTAAAACATGCCTTAAGGGTTGGGTCACTACTTTGGGCCACCTTAATTTCCTCAGGAAGAGGATTTACATGAGGAGAATCCTCTAAGGCACTCTTATGCTGTGCTCGGGTGGTTACCGCAGCAAGATGCTTTGAAGGTTTCTTCGGCTCTGCTAAAAATACATAAGTAGCGCCAAGAATTAAATCAAAGGTACAGTGTTCAAGCACTGCAGCCTCAATTACCCCCGAGACATACTTTGAACGGACCCTAATCTTAGCAATCGGCAAGTTTAAAGGTTTAGCATCCAATGTGGCACATTGGAGCTCTATGAATCTGCCAGTATACTGATCAGGTTTTACAAACTCTGGCCTCACCACACAGCCGTACGTCAAACCACTATCATACAGACAATTTAAAGAATATCCGTTAGCCCAGACCCTCTCTACCACAGGTGGCCTATTGGAACCATTGTACAACTTTTCCTGGGTAGAAGGTACTACAGTAGACAACAAAGCTGATACTTGTAAATTCCCTGACTGTTTGGATTTACATTCCTTAGTCCAGTGGTTATTATTCTTACAAATATGGCAGTAAGGCTTTTTAGGCCCATTAAAGGGTTGTCTATGTTGTGTTCCCTGAACTTTTGAGGGGTTCTGGGGTTGTGCTTGGGATGTATTCTTTTTAGGGGATTCATTTGGATGGGTTTTATGACCATTACCATTATTTTTCCCTTGGCCCTGGGCCTTGGGTTTCCCACCTATACACACCTCTTTATGTGCCATCTCATACCTCTCAGCATACATCAACATCTCACTCAGTCTGTCAGCAC